TTTTATTTTTATATATATATATATATATATATATATATATATATTCTTCTAATGTTACAAAGTAAAATGATTTAAAGGTTTTCTAAAGCCAAAGGTGTTTTTTTCAATTAGAGTAAGGAGTGGGTTAAACCACTGTGTACCATTCAAGAGATGTTTCCGTCGCTTACTGTCATGTAAACAACATAGGAAAAGTAAAGAAATATTTAGCCAAAGTGAGAAAAATCCCCACTTAGTTGTAACCACAACAAGTGTTACCATTGTAGGATTCTTACTCTATTATTGCTCTGGCAACAAATCAAACTTTTGGATGTTTTTGTGTGAGGCAAACAGTAGAAGTTGGGAAATGTGTAAAAATGTGTGTAAATTATGTAAATGATTCATATGTAGAGCTGAGTTATATACTGACAGAAGGGTAGCATTGACATTGTACTGTTGGACACAATGCAGAGAAGGTTTTGGATCACTTGTTTGTGAAACCAAATGGAATGGAATTGTTACATTGTCCAAGGTGTGAAAGGCACCAAAGTTAAAAGAGCCAGAGTTGCGTTCCTTTCTTTCATTAAATTCCATTTCTTCTTTCTCATTGTTAATGACTTCCTAGAAGAAATATGTACCAATCAATGACTCGAAGAAGTGAATTCAGTAATCATGTATAATATTCGTACAATCAGAAATATTATGCGCTTGTCAAATTTCAATTAACTTACCTGCAGGTCTTCAATCATGATAGTATAGTCAATGTTGTTGTATTCCAGATAGGCCTTCACAGACTGAAGACTTCTGAAGGGAATTCGAACATCAACTGGTATATTAGGGTTGGCAGGTTCAGTCCAGAAGTCAAGCTTTGAAAAGTAAAAAAGGGCTTGTTATATATTACTAGTCAGGGTGGCTGAAACAAGCTTAATTCACTACAAAATGCACATTGCTATGTAATATTTCCTAGAGTGTGAGACATGTATTTAAAAGGCATAGAAAAGGAGGCCTGGACTTAATATTTGTCCCCTGTACTAACCAGAAGCTATTAAAAGAATCAAATGTGGGAAAATATATTTTATGCTAGTGAAAGTCACTAGAGGTGGTAAAAAAAACTATGGCCTGTTAGTGTACTATTCCCTGGTCGTCCTCACAAAATCAATATAAGATTCTGATTATATGAAGTAAAGTCAGAGGGGTTGATTTACTAACCTAAACACACACACACACCAGGTGTGTGTGATTTTTTTTACACAGCAAAACGTATTTATCAACCAAAAAGTCTCTAAAAGCATATTTCCACTAATGCCATATATGGAAAAATCATGCACATGATGCATATATAATGCTGCTTCACATTTTAGACAAAAATGGTTAGCTCATGCATTTACATTCCTGCATTCATCAACGCAAGCAACATAACATAGAGCTAATTTACACCACATTACCTTGCAATTCATTGCAGGGCTTTGAACAACACACCTGCTGGGTGTGTACACACTACAAAGGTGTTTCGATTCCTCCCATAGATCATGCTGGGAGGGAACACACTACAGAGGTGTATACACGTTCGTGGTGTGTTTAAAAGGTTAGTAAATCAACCCCAAAGTGTCACTTAAATATCCAACTGTACTTAGAAAACTGTTTTTATGGATGCGCCAAATAATAGTTACATTTTGCACTAATTGTAAAAAAATAATCACACAAAATTTTACAATGAAATCTCAAAATGTGTGGCAGCTTTGGGACAAGGTCCTTTGGCACCCAAGGAAGGGGTGCAAAAATGCACCCCCTTCCCCCTGAACTTTTAACAACAATAACTAATGATCAAAAATTTAAAAGATTTGTATGCAAGCAGAAAAAAGGCAAGGGAAGAGAATTAAGGCATTTTAACTACTTCCCCCTCCCTTTTAGATTGGAAGCCCTCAGGGGCAGGGCCCTCCTTACTTATTGTCTTGAATTGTATTGTGATTGTAATGTCTTCCTTATATTGTAAAGCGCTGCACAAACTGTTGGTGCTATATTAATCTTGAATAATAATGATAATAATAACTACAAATGTTGGGGATAATAAAGGCACTGGAAGCATGTTTCTGATATAAACCTATTTATTTATTTTCGCACTACAAAAATGAACAAATGCGTTATGAACAAGGGGTGAGCTGGCTGAACAGCTATGCGCTATGAGGAGGGAGGTACCCAAGCTGGCTAACTCTTCTGTCTTGACCCAGCCCTAATGAGTGCAGATTTGCTAGAATGTGCAAGGATGCTTAGAGCCCCTGTATGGTGGAAAAAGGCACTGCTAAGGTGCAGGTTCTGGCAACTTGTACTCCCAGCATGGGGTCCTTAGAATAGCTTCACTGGTTGTGGCAGCTAAACAGGCTAAGGAAAAGTTCCAGTGACCAGGAGCAGGCTAATGCATGTTTCCTGCTGGGCAGAGACAGTACAAGGGAATGAGACAGAAGAATATTACAAACTGTAGTCAGAGGCTATTGGCAGCAGCATCCAGAGTTACATGTTAAAACGGAAGTGGCGGGATTGCATTTGATCAACTTTTTTTTTACTTAAGGAACTTTTGAAGCAGTGAGAAATAATTTCAATAGGACCAGTTGCATCCAAAGAAATGTAAAGCAAAGCAGGTTAAACACAGCATCTTAGAACAGGCCTTAGAACAGCCATCGACAATCAAGTCAAATTGGAACTTGTAAA